AGGTCACAGGCAGACAGACAAAAACACACACAGTCTGCCCATTAGTCCTGCACAAAATGGCCACTGGACACAATTCATCAGCCACGGTGACCACGGAGGACAAGGAAGGACGGTCTTTCCAACTGTCTTCTCTACCCAACAAACCCTCTGGTGTAAGCGTTCAGGTAAGGGCTAACTTTCAGCACAGGCTAATTCATTTATCCTCAACAAGTGGGCTATTGATTTTTGTCTGTTTTCAGAACAGCCTGGGGTTTTCTGAATGACAATCGCGTCCCCTACTTAAAAAAAAAAAAAAAAAAAGAACCCTGGGATTCTGGGGAAATGCTTTTTCACTCTTCTTGACAGGCTGGCTCTGCGTCTGGAGCCATTCACTGATTCAACTGGGTGCCGCTAATTTCCAGCTTCTTTTCACCTTGTCCTTTCTGAGTCTGGCATACTTCTAGCCTTTTAAAGTTGACAGGTCAAGAGGACTCGGCTTTGTTCTTGGCACCCCTATGAAGAGGGTAAGAAATGTCCTGACAGAAGAGGAACAGTGGAACAGGACATAGTTCTTTTTCTCGCTTTCTTTCTTGGTCTCTCACTCTCTTTCTTTCTTTTTCAATAATCAATTTGTAAAACAAAAGTAAAACAATTTGTAAAAAAAAAAAGTAGCCCCACATTCCAACATTCCAAAAGGAATAAAGAAGAAATTCATGTGTACTGCATATACGGCAAAGGACATCCTTTATATAAACCTAAAGAGAAATGATTTAGAGACTATATAAACATTTAAATGCCTCCAACTTTTCAAAGGAGTACTGAGTGGAAAAACAGGAGACTATAATATAAGCCAGACAGAATTTAAATGAATTATGTGTTTGGTGTTACTTAAGTTGCTAAAGTGTTAATAATAGCTCAGGTGCCAATTTTGACTTCATTCAAGAAACTCTAATGACTGGTTGTGGACTGTTACTTTGACAGTCACAGATTCTAACTATACTGTGTACCAGTGAACAATGTCCTTAATCTGCCAGGCCATTCCTCTGAAAAGAGTGCATCTCCTAACAAGAAGGTACCTGACAATAAGATTAGGAGTTCTGCCCGGCCAGCCAGAGCTGCTCACTCAAGGCCACACTGCCAAGTTCACAAGGAAAAGAGGGCACTTCAACATCTTTTCCATCTTAACTTACATGTCAAGGGGTCCACATCTGGACACGGAAAACAAAGCAGATGGTGAACAACCAGTACACACTCCATCAGGGTGGTGGCTTGCACATGGCCCCAGAGTGCCTCAACCAGGATAAGCCAAGATACCTGGACATTTGAATCAAGGATGCTATAAAGAAAGGGGGCATGCCTGTTGGTACAAACAGCCAGCATTGGGTTTCTGGGCTGTGCTATCATTTTTTTTTTTAAAAATGATATTTTAAGAATTGCTTATAGTGCCACAGAGATGGCTCAGATGCTTGTGACCAAGGCTGGCCATCTAAGTTCAATCCCAGAACCCACACGGTGGGAGGAGAGAACTGACTCCCACAAGTTGTCCCCTGACCTTCATACATGCACCATGGTATGACATGCATGTGTACATACACATAATAAATAAACAAATGTAATATAATGGCTTTTTCAAAAAACTGACCGTGAACAGATTTGTCTTATAAAGGATGGCAATGGATACTTTCAAAGCAGGAACACAGTTGTGACTTTGTTATGTTTGGCACAATGGTAAGAGGAGACAGGCGAGCCCTTTTACAAGGGGAAGTGGAAGAAGTGTCCTCTGGAGCACCCTCGCCTCCCTTTCACTGAGAATGGAAGACTGGAGGCTCCTTTGAGGTGACCCCTTTCTTTGTGTTGTGAACACACAGATTTTGTTTTGAAGGGGAAGTATGGTGGGCTAGAAGTCAAGTCACAAGTATAGATTAGGTACAGGGACACAGGCTGAGGAGATGGCACACGGGAGGCAAACATCTGTAATAATAAGAGAACAGAAAGAATGGAGTACTAAGAGGGTAGGTCTGCAGGAGTCCTCAACTTGCAGAGTTTGGTGCCATAGAAAAAAAAGAGAAAACCCCATGGCTTCGGAGGCATGCCAAATTTCCCCTTTTGTCTCTTAAAAGTTTTATAAAGGAAACAAAAACCAGAACATTCCAAAAGGAAAAAGAAAACAGGGAGGGAAGGGGAGTGGGGAAGAAGAGGAAGGGGAGAAGTGGGGGGGGGGGGAGAGAAGGAGTGGGGAGGGGTAAGGAGGGAGGCAGAAAGAAGTTAACTTCAGGCCGGGTGGTGGTGGCGCACGCCTTTAATCCCAGCACTTGGGAGGCAGAGCCAGGTGGATCTCTGTGAGTTCGAGGCCAGCCTGGGCTACCAAGCGAGTCCCAGGAAAGGCGCAAAGCTACACAGAGAAACCCTGTCTTGAAAAACGAAAAAAAAAAAAGAAGTTAACTTCTACTATATAGCATTGATAAGAGAAAGACATGCAGTACTACAATATTTACTTTATATAGATAAGGTCACTTATGGAAAGCTGGCTAGACTATATTTCATAACAGACTCATGGCATTTTGTCACTAAGAGCCTTGGGTCTGAGAGATGACAGTTCTCTCATTCCTCTTCTCTTCAGGACTGCTTCTCTGCGGGGAGCTTAGCATACAGGGTCTCAGGGAAGTTTGCTGAACAAAGAGCCATGGCCACACAGGACGGAAGTGTGCAGGGAGCTGGCCTGAAGGAGGATGGCACTGGGGACTTGAAGGTATCAATATGGTGGAGAAAATAAAGGCGCCCCAAAGTGTCACCTTTGGCATACATGTGAGAAATCCTTCTGGATCCAGCCAGGTGCAGAAATGTCTGGGTGTGCCTCAGAATTCAAATTTTATTTCCTTTTCTTTTAAAATTTTATGTATTATTATTGTTGATGTGTGTGTGTGTGTGTGTGTGTGTGTGTGTGTGTGTATAAGAGATATGTGTGTGGAGGTCAGAGAGCAACTTTGTGGAGTCCGTTCCTTCCTACTTTTACATGGGTTCCAGGAACTGATCTCAGGTCATCAGGCGAGTGTGACATGTGCCTTTAACCATTAACTGAGTCATCTTACCAGATTTTTTTGTTTGCTTGTATTTTTTAGACAGGGTCTTACTATGTAGCCCAGGCTGGCCCCAAATTCAAAATTCCCAGCCTCTTGAATGCAGAGATTACACACATATCCCACCATGCTTGGTTCTAGTTTTTGAGGTTGTCCACTGGTGTTCAAGTCAGATGGAAAGCAGTGCGTTACTCCTTTGCCCTTCTCCAAACTTCACAGGGTCCAAGCAGTTAAACAACAAAATAGTGTCTGCAATTTCAGCTTCATCTCTGGTTCTAAACCCTGTCTTAACTTATACAGTATTCTGGTCCTCTCAATGGAGTGTCTGCAGGGAAGGTCGGTACAAAGATAATGTTTGACCAGGCAGGACAGAGCAGCTGCCTTCTTCTCCAAGTCACCAGCTAGATGTGATCTAAGATTTAAACTCTGAACCCCAGATGCCACATCTGGGCAATGAAAATGGCAGTCCTGTCCCAAACTGCATGCCACAGCAAGGCAAGAGGCTGTTGGGGGTGACATGGAGCAGGATGTTGGGTAGAACTTGCTAAGTTAGGTTGATAAAAAGGGATTGAGGATGTAGCGGGAAGGGGCTCAGATAGTAGAATGCTTCTCCAGCATTCACAAAGTCCAGGGTTCAACCCTTAATGTAGCATAAACTACGTGTGGTGCCACAAGCATGCAATCACAACACTTAGGAGGAGACTGGTGACCAAAAGTTCAAGGTCATCTGCTGCTCCATCATCAGCATGAGGTCAGCCCTGGTTCTCTCGGGGCTTGTCTCAATAAGGAGAGGAGAAAACAGCCTGGCCCCGCTATCTAACTCCCCGCTTTCACAATCTGTAAACGGCTGTGGGGTTGAGAGTGTTCAATCTCTCAGAATCCAAGAACACAGAAAGGTTCCCATCAGGGAGAAGAAAAGACAAATGAAAACCATTTAGCATTGACAAGTGAAAAGGACGGGGATCAGACCATAGAGACAGAGCCTCGGCATTCACATTTGCCAAGCTACAGGACTCGGTGAATTGTTTCTTCAAGCCTATGTCTTCTCAGCTACAAAAAGGATACTGTGGACCAACAAGATAAAACAGTGTGACCCAGGGCTGGAGAGACAGACCAGGAGGTAGGAGGCTTGCTGCTCTTGCAGAGGACCAGGGTTTAGTTCCCAGCATCCACATCAGAGGGTTCACAACCACTTGTAACTGCAGCTCCAGAGGCTCAGATACCTTCTTCCTGTCTCCTTGAGCACCCGCCTCCCCAACACACACACACACACACACACACACACACACACACACACACACACACACACACGAGGGTGCTAACACAGAGACACAAACACTCACAAATTTAAATATATATATATATATATTTAAATTTTATATTTTATATATATTTTATATATATTTAAATATATATATATATCTTTAAAAAGTCACGTGACGCACTCCCCCTTGCTCGGGCGCAGTAGTACAGCGGCTGTTACAGCACCATCACTTGTTACTATTTTCCTATTGCTAACATGATGATTCTCAGAGCCAGTATCTTTTTGAAGAGACCTGGCAGGAAGCACACGTCTGCCTGAGATCTCAATTTATCTTTTGCATGCTAAGGGATGTAGCTCCTCACACAGTGCCTTTCATTGTCAAGCCCAGAAGATCTCCATAGCAGAGACTGTGAGGATAAAATAGGACTGGGAAAATCCCACAAAAACAGGTACCATCCCCAGTACCTCTGTGCCCTGACAAAAGAGTGATTCTCTTACTGTGATTAGTTCAAACCAGTGAATTAAACCCAGAGGAATCACTTTCAAATAAGACTCTAATTTCAGAGACCCAAGGAAGCCTGCATTTTAATAAGATATTTCATTGTTATCCCAAATACAAAACCATTGTTTGCCTGACTCTATAATGTATTGTTAGACAGACACTGCGCTATTACTGTAGCAAAATGAAACACGCAATGATCTCGCTAATAAAACAATTGGATCATAAGGCAAAACGGAGCTCGGCACTTTAAACAGAGCTGAATACCCCTGGGTGGTGATCTGCATAGTCTAATATTCCCAGTTGGAATTTCACCTTTCTCTACTCTTCCGAGATGAAAATCAT